TATATATATATATATATATATATATATATATATATACATATGTATATATATATGTATGCCTTCAGAGCTGCCCCCCAGGCACATACAGCGAGGCGGGCTCAACTTCTTGCTCCCCCTGCCCTGCTGGGTTTAAGTGCGTTTCGTCTCCTGAGGCTTCTCCTCTTATCCCCTGCAGTGCCGGAGAGTACTCGATGGAGGTGTGTTTCTTTCTCTTTGTATATTCATGCTTATATACAAGACCGCCTGCATGCATGCATGTGTATTAATATGTGTATTTTCTCTACTCATTTGCAGATGCAGTCAAACCGTAGGCCCACGTGTACATACATACACAATTCAATAAAGTTCTAACTAAATAAATAAATACGTATGTATATATATATATATATATATATGTATATATGTATATATATATATATGTCCAGCGCAGGCCCTCATGTCTGTACCTATATAAATGGGTCTGAAGACGAGACCCAGACGTGGCCGTTTGGTTTATCTTTACTGATCTTCGCGACTTAGGGTTTAGGGTTTAGGGTTTAGGGTTTAGGGTGTTTGTAGTGTATTGTTTTTATTTGTACTAGGGAATGGCATCTTGCCTGCCCTGCCCGAAGAACCACGCCTGCCCCACGCCGCTTGAAGTAGTGCCCTGTGAGAGGCCGACGCAGTTCGCGCCAAAGGGCCAGCAGATATGTAAACCCTGCCCCAGCGGTAAGCTATATAGCTAGCCAGCTAGCTAGCCAGCTAGCTAGCTAGCTAGCTGGATGGAAAGGATATGGCTAGCTAGCGGGTTGCTATATACCATGGTTTACTACTGCCTGAGGATGCAAGGGCTTTGTATCTTTTCCGGTTGTAACTTTGAGATAAAGATTTCTTTGTTCATCTTATAATTATTATTATAAAAATAAAGTATATTTTATTCACTTAACTGTAAATGAAGGGAAAGAGACTCGCGTGAAAAACAGAAAAAAAAAAGTATTGCTGCAGGTTTCTGTTGCAATGAACTTTTCTATGAAACCGAAAATTCAACTTTTTGGTGGATTGTTCGCTGCTGCGGTGAAACCCCAAATTGTTTACCCTTATACATATATTTTGAATTTATTTTGAATGTCAGTAGATGACCCCCGTTATTTATTTTTATTTCATAAGTTACATCTTTATTGGGTTAGCGTTACCACCTTCTGAAGAAAGCTTTCGTTAGTTTGTGGCCTATTTATACATTGTACGTCTTCGCCATAC